ATCTCAAGTATTGTTGAAATTATATTATGGGGGTTTTTAAGGGGGGACTCGGCGAGTTGGAGCCAGACTCGCCGAGTAGGATCGCAGACCTGGTCGCGGGTTCGCGACTGGACTCGACGAGTCAGATAGGGACTCGGCGAGTCTGCGCTGTTTAGCGAAAACCCTAGCCGTTTAGGTTTGGGACGTATATAATGAACTTATAGGCCGTCATTGTCCGTCTTTAGCCTACTGAGAAGAACCCTAATCGGTTGTGTGCATCTGGAGCAAGGATTGAAGGCCATTGGTGATCTTGAAGAAGTTATTGTGCAAGGAAGAGAAGGGTTTGGCTAAAGGAACAGCAAGGGAATCAAGTTCTGAGGATTGGGGACACAGAGAGTGCATTATTCAGGTAACAATTCGGATTATAATCTGCTATGTTGATGTGTGCATGGATTTAGGGTTTATGGAACCCTTTTGTGACTAGATTGATTGTTATCCTTGTTTCCCCAAACGATTATAACCCTGTATTAGGACCTTTAGAGGTCCAGAATGTCCCATGCCTGTGTATTTCGGGAATTAAGAGAGGTTTTGGATTGGAATCCTTATGCCTTAGGTCAAAATGTAAATTATAAGCCTTGGGGTGTAGCAGGAGCACCTAAATGAAGGCCTTACATGTTGTACCAGCTTAGGAGGACCAAACCTATGAATGGTCGGGACAATACTGATCTCAGGAAGCAGTTTGATCGACTGCATGGCATGGACTCGCCGAGTCAGATGAGCAGACTCGGCGAGTAGCTTGAAGAATAACTGGGACTCGTCGAGTTGTTCCTCAGACTCGGCGAGTGGAGTCGGGGTGGCCCCGCGATTCTTCCAGGAGTAACTCGTCGGGTCAAGGAGGATACTCGACGAGTAGAAGGGAAAACTTAGAGGATTGGAGGACGACTAGACTCGCCGAGTCGCCAGGGTACTCGCCGAGTCCGGTCGAGTTGACCGTGGACTGTTGACCAGAGTTGACCTGTGTATGATTTCTTAGGGTCAGTTAACGTGGAAGATAAAAGTATTAATAAGAGAATACATTATTCAGGGAGCTTGAAGCTCGGCGGATCAAGTGCAAGTGATTTCAGGAGTTGCTAATTTCCAGTATCCACGAGGTGAGTCTTCTCACTATACTGTACCCGGAAGGGTTTGACTGTGTGACCGGAAGGTCGGATATGATATGTGTTATACGTGCTATAAATGGTAAGGTATTTGCTATGCGTGCTATGTATGTTTATATGAGCCGGAAGGCAATATGTTATGTGACCGGAAGGTCGGATATGATATATGATATATGTGCTATATGTGGTAAGTTAATTATTATGCGTGTTATGTATGTTATATGGGCCGGAAGGCAATACGTTATGGGCCGGAAGGCAATGTGCTATGGGCCGGAAGGCATTTATCTCATGGGCCGGAAGGCGTTGTGTAGTGGACCGGAAGGTCAGGGCCTGGAAAGGCGTATATGCGTAAGTTGTATATTGGGGAACTCACTAAGCTTCGTGCTTACAGTGTTTGTGTTATGTTGTTTTCAGGTTCTTTCAGTAACACAGGATGGCACCGGCTCGATTGTACACACCAGAGAAAGAGTTATATGTTGGGGGATCCTGGTTTTCTATTCAAGTGAAAATGAAACTATGTTTTGTAATTCAATTATGTATGAGATTTAAACAAGTGTTTTAATATTAAAATGATTACTTTAAACGAAAATTTTGCCTTGAAATTTTTGGTGTTACAAATTGGTATCAGAGCCTTGGTTTGAGGGATTCGGATGCGCCTTCGGGTAAATCTGGACTCAAACTGAGGAAGTAAGAAAAAGTTTTCAAATAAATAGTTTTCTAAAAGTGAATAAGAGTTCAAAGAGAAAGCAAGAAAGAGCAGTGTGTACAATCAACCAGAGCCCGAACGGTGATTTCCCAAAATACCCTTATTTTGTGTTATGAGATATGTATGATGCACTTTATGAGATATTATTGCATGTTAGAGATAGGCTAGGCATTTCATATGTTAGGACTAGAGTGGCCTGATTTGTGATGCCTTAGCCTAGGACTCGTTGTTATATGTGTTATGTTTGAGTATGTGATGAGTGAGAGTATCCAGTTAGAACCCATCAGGGGTAGAGTTACAGAGTTCGGTGGTACTTTCGAGGATGAGCTGAGAAGTTGGGGTTATCACAGGGAGAGAGTCCTATGTATTCTTCAATGCTCGAATGCTGCTTGCTTTGTGCTTTGTGGAACTCTCGATGATGGGAGTCAGCTACCAAGTGAATATGACGATATTCAGGAGGTAGATGGCTGGCATCATTAGGAGCTCTTCAGCAGCTGATAGCAAAGAAGTGGGAGGACGACGGAAGAGCCTAGGGAATAACCCTATCCAGATGAGTGCACTGGTAGAGTAGAGGATTTCGCTGGAGAGCGAGCACGTGCGATGGGATTGGTGAAAGAGCAGGTCAGCAGCTACTTAGGAGCTCTGGGATGGTCCGTGTGGAAGGTATGGGTAGATGTGGCAGGTAGTATGGGCCCGTACTACTGAAAGCAGAGGACCCATACTTGATACAGGGAGCATTCTGAAGGTCCTAAGGAACGGATTGAGGAGTGATGTTATGGTTCGAGTACCATACATCGGAGCAGATTGAGAAGTGATGCTATGGTTCGAGTACCATACATCGGAGCAGATTGAGGAGTGATGTTATGGTTCGAGTACCATACATCGGAGCGGATTGAGGAGTGATGTTATGGTTCGAGTACCATACATCGGAGCAGATTGAGAAGTGATGCTATGGTTCGAGTACCATACATCGGAACAGATTGAGGAGTAATGTTATGGTTCGAGTACCATACATCGAAGCGGATTGAGAAGTGATGCTATGGTTCGAGTACCATACATCGGAGCAGATTGAGGAGTGATGCTATGGTTCGGGTACCATACACCAGAGCAGATTGAGAAGGGATGTCATGGGGTGAGTACCATGGTTCGTAGTGAATGATACTTGTGATTATCTTATTATTCGGTCATGATCGATGAGGTAGAGATCGGACGCTATGGGTTTTAGGCCTGTATACCATGATTGAGTATGGAGAGGCGTCCCTCGAGAGGAAAGGCGAGTGCCTATCAGAGTATTTTGGTAAGGAGTTAAAGGAAGAGGAAAATTTCGGTCTGAGTTGAGCAATCAGTCGATAGAGGAGAGGTCATCTTCTAGGTGGGTGGTGCTATTTTTTGTCCGTGTGCAAGACACGGGAGGCCTGATGTTTCAGTTTTGGGTTTGGGGGTACACCCTACAGGTCGTATCGGTGATGATTTTCCCCAGAGTATCAGGTGGCATGTGTGCCGCGAGGCGGTGACTTATCGGGAGTAGACAGTCAGTTGGGACTGAGGTAGTCGAGGACCACACCACACCTAATTGAGAATAGTAGGTTGTGTCATAGTGGTAGTAGTGGGGAGTTCAGTTGAGTTTTGCAGTGCAGAGAGTTTTCGTCTATGTTGGGAGTGGGTCCCATGTCCTTGGGACAATTCCGGTGTTGGAACATTGGTTGATGAGTTGAGGTGAGAGGAACGATGATTTTGCGGTGCAGTCTATGAGACAGGGATGTTATTGAGCAGTTGAGATGCTTAGTGTTGGATTGGTATGAGATTTGGAACGATTAGAGGCAGTCGTGATGAGAAGTTCTTGAGGAGTTCATCAGAGGTTCAGAGTATAGGGGGTTGATTGATTTCCTTAAGGGGCAATTATCGGGCGTTGCGTAGCACTTTCCGGGGGCGGGTGCGAGTTCGCTGGTGAAAATAGTCGTGGGTTGGTGTGTGATAATTGGTGATGGTTCGAACCCTAAGTGGGGGAGAACCGGGTGCAGTATGTAAGAAAGCAAAGATTTGTCAAGAGTAGTTATAAGTGGAGTATAGAGATATGCTGTAAGAAATCATGAGACCAGAGATGTCGGTGATCGAGGAAAGGGGTCAGAGTGAGTTAATGCGGGAAGTACTTGAGGAGGAGGACGAATGTATCCATGACAGGTGATTGGTGTTGTTGCAAGTAGATAGAGAATGATTGGGCAGCCAACTCCCGGGGTCGGTATGCGTATCCTTGTTTGGA